AGGTTAATTCTCTTTTTATTTTTTTAAACTGAGCTCAGTTTAGCTCGTAAACCCCCCGTTTCTCTCTAGACTGGAAGTGTCTTGCTCACAGTATAGTTCTTCTGGAAAATGACTAGTGGCTCTTGGGTAAATACTACTATCATCCTTCCCTTTTGCCTGGGTGGCATCTGGGGAGGCTTCCGTAACATCACAGCATCAAGGATGGGGTGGCTGGTGGTGAGTGCCTGGTCCGTGGTCGTCTTCCTATCTCTCTGGCCTCTACGGAGGAGAAATTTGCTCTGCTTGGCCAAGGAATGCCACCCTCTGCTTTTTTTTTTTTAATGGCACTGGTTCGCATTCGTGCCTCTACAACGTAGTTTTTTGTTTTGTTTTGCTTTTTTATTTAATTTATTGTTGGCTGCATTGGGTCTTGGTTGCTGCGCATGGGCTTTCTCTAGTTGCGGCTACCGGGGGTCCACTCTTCGTTGCGGTGCGCGGGCTTCTCATTGCGGTGACTTCTCCCGTTGCGGAGCACGGGATCTAGAGCGCAGGCTCAGTAGTTGTGGCTCACAGGCTTAGTTGTTCCGTGGCATGTGGGATCCTCCAGGACCACGGCTCGAACCTGTGTCCCCTGCCTTGGCAGGCAGATTCTTAAGCACTGCGCCACCAGGGAAGCCCCACCCTCTACTTTTCATGTCCATATGCCACTTGATCTGTACCCTAGTTGTCCCAGTCTGAAGTCTCTTCCAATGAGCTGGCCCTTTCATTACTTCTGGGAGCTCAGGGAGCTTGGAAGCCATCACCTCCCCATGATGGGGTATGAGGGACTCTGTGAGGTGTGCCCGCCCTTGGGCCCACCTGGCCAGACAACACTCTCAGACACTCTCTCTCCTCCTCAGGTGCCTTGTTGAACACCTCACTTCTCTACGGGGACTGCAGTCTCCCAGGTTAATTGCTGGAAGCCAGGCAATGGTTTCTAGATCAGGATTTCCCTCAAACTTATGGGGGCTTCGCTTATACTGGGGCTCAGCCCAGAGCTGTAGGGTTCTGGATTTCTTCTCCATGACCTTCCAGCCTCAAAACCAAGTCATATCCCCTCTAGTTCTTCCTTTTCTATTGATACCTGCTGGTCAAAATTCCCCCTCCGCCCCACCTCTTTTTTCTATGGAAAAAAATGTTTATGTCAAGATGCACTGTCCCTCTGCTGATGGTGCTGGCTATGTGCAAAGTCCTCCAGCATTTTGGCTCTTAAAATGTAAAGGGTAACTTTTAGAATAAAGGACAAAAACAAAGCAAAACGCCATTCCAACAATTCTTGTAACTCTCGTGGCTTTCAAGACTTTCTTCTCTACTATAGAATCACAAAGTCTCTACAGGAGTTCAGAAGCTAAGAATTTAAGCTGTTATCTCCATAGCATCACTGCCAGAAGACAGTGCATAATAGGGAGCCCTGTCTGCTGATGGAGTCTGGGGAAAGGGCAGAGATAAAGAACAGAAGGGATGTTCAATTGAATATCAAACTCTACATATACAAAGGACGACCGCTGCTTTCATGAGCGAACCAACAAGGCATGTCCTCTAGGAGCCCGGACCATGAGGGAAGCCACGGGGCTTTCGCTCAGTTAGAAAGTTTTCTTGCAGCAAGACACAGCACTGGTTGGGTCACATTTGGTTTTGTGCAATGAAAGCCAAAGGGGGAAACTTCTGCTTACTGGGTTTCTACAGATAGAGCTGCAACTACATCCTCTCAGTCAAGCAGGAAAAAACATCTAGGGGGGCTTCCCTCGTGGCGCAGTGGTTGAGAGTCCGCCTGCCGATGCAGGGGACGCGGGTTCGTGCCCCGGTCCGGGAGGATCCCACATGCCGCGGAGCGGCTGGGCCCGTAGGCCATGGCCGCTGAGCCTGCGCGTCCGGAGCCTGTACGTCGAGTCTGCGCGTCCGGAGCCTGTGCATCGAGCCTGCGCGTCCGGAGCCTGTGCTCCGCAACGGGAGAGGCCACAGCAGTGAGAGGCCCGCCTACCGCAAAAAAAACAAAAAACAAAACATCTAGGGCAAGTGAGGATGTGGAGAAGAGGGTACACACGTACACACGGTCGATGGCAGTGTGCAACATAATCTTTGCAGAGGGCACTTTGGCGAGAGCTAGCAACATTTCAAATGTGCGTGCCCTTTAACCTTTTAAAATGGGAATTGAACGATTTTAGGAGAGTAGCCTACAAAAAGGTGGGCACAAGTAAGCAAAGATATTTACAGAAAGATTTTCACTGGCGATGTGTTTCTCATTGCCAAAAAATAGAAACCTATTTGTATACTGAGAGGAGACTGGCTAAGTAAACGATGGTCTATCTCAACTATAAAATACCATGTAGCCTTAAAAAGAATGAGTGGCTCTATGTATGCTGAGGGAAAAGATATCCAAGATTGCTTGTTTAGCTGTAGAAAAATATGCAAATATGCTTAATATTAATTTTGTTTGCAAAGCGCCCTCCCCCCACCGTGTAAGACAGAATGTCTGGAAGAGGAGTGTAGCACTTCTGATATATTTCTATATTGTTTAAACTTATTAACATGAATACTGTGTACTTTAAAAATGAGTATTATTATTGCAGTATTTTATAAGGTGAAGAAAATAGAAACAGCAGTGCAGAAACACTCAAAATCATTGGGGTTAGCAGTCATGAGAGGAGGTCAGTGGAGCGAGCCTTATGCCAGCTTCTTTGCAGAAGCCCTCAGAGCAAAGAGGAACTCCGTGGGCCCGGCTGGGAAACCACGGAGAAGGGCTACCCCACGAGGAAACCCCACCTGCCAGGCCTGACTGGGACTGAGAGGCTTGATTTGCTGGGGCAACTTAGATTTTTCTCTTGGTTTCTGTGACTGGTGTTTGTACAATCATTAAGAAAATGTTTTACGATTAACTAACCATATTGGTTGACAAAGAGAGTTGTCAAGGGTGCCTTATTCTAAGGCCTTGAGACTGAGGAACTAGGAAAAGGAAGGTGGTGTCCTTTAGAGACGGGGAATTTCAGGAAGGGAGCCGAGTGTACCTGGAGATGCTCCACCCAAGTCGATGATGGGACCTGCAAGCGGACTGGGGTCAGCTGAAGAGGACGGACAAGGGCTAAAAATCTGAGAAACCTCAGAAGGCATAGCTGGTGTTTATACCTGTGATGGGCAGAAAAGTCCTCTGAAGGAGTCTGGAGTGAAAACCACAGGAGGCCTAAAACCTTGGGGCTTGACCAGAGTCAAGGTTCAAAGGGAAAAGAGCATCAGTGACGGAGACCAAGACGTTAAGGGAGCAGGAAGGCAAGGCATCGAGGGAGTGAAGGGAGAATTCCCAGGGGCAGGGAGGACTCACCAAATCCACGGAGAGTGCAAAGAGGATGAAACTGCGGCAAGAAGGTCATCCTTCCAGAGAAGTTTCTGGAAGGTAGTTGAGATGGATGCTGAACAAGAGGGAATGCACTTAGGGGCTGGAGGTGATGGCTGTAACCTTTTGTTGGAAATGGTAACGAAGGCCACAAGAGAAGTAGCACAGGGGCCTGGGAGGGTGGTGGGAGATCAAAGAAAGCATGGAAGCCCTGGTTCACTTCTTCAGGCAGAACGGAAAAGGGGACAAGCTCTGAGAAACTTGGTGGGAGTGGAGGAGGGGGCAGGAAGGGAGGGGTGGGACTCCAGGGAAGGCCAGCCAGGGAGGGTGGAGCGGTGAGTGGCAAGTGGGGTACACAAAGGTGGCTTGGATTTTGCCAGTCCTCTCCACAGTGAAGGGCAAGCTCACGACTGGAACTCTCAAGGTCTCAGTTTCCCAACTGATAAATGAGGAAATTTGACCAAAGCTCGAAAAACAAATAAACCCACATACCACCCAACGCTGATGCTCCAATTCAGAGCTTCCCAACTAGAGAGCTGGGTCGTGGCCGGAGTGCACAGCAAATGCCCACGTGGATCCCCTCAGCCCGGCTGGCCGGGGGCGGGGGCGGTCCCCTGAAGCAGCCACAGTCCCCAGGTTCATGAATATGGCCCCAGCAGCCTCTTCAACCGGTTTGCCCCAGTGTGATGCCAAGGGAGCACAAATGTCATCATTTCTATGCTTCAAGTCCTGAAAAGGTTGGGAAGCTTTGCGTGTACACAGACAGACGTGTGAGGCCTCAGGCGTTAAGATTTGGGGCTTGTCGGGATTTTGAGAGAAGGATGGGCTTCCTTGCAAATGTTGCCCAAGCCCCCTCCCCCAGTTCCGGTTGCACAGTTTGGTTCTTAGAAAAGAGCTGCCTCGCACAGGGTTGGGGGGTCGGGGGTGGTCCTTGCCCTCTGATGTCCTCTTTCTAAAGGCGGCAAGGCTCAACCCAGAAGGTGGCCTCCAGCGTGACTCGGACAGGATCTGGGTGACAGTTCAGGGGTGTGGACCTCAGATGAAAAGCTGCTCTCTTATGTACAAAGGTGACACCGCCAAACACCCCCGCCCCTCGAGCAGCCTCCGCTGAGGACAGCAGCTTCCAAACTGACTTCTGGGGAACCTGGAATTCTTGAGATGTTTTAGGGGGCAAAGGAGCTCCACAAGGCTTTGATTCTAACCTCCCTTTAAGGATGCATACTTTAAGCTTATTCTAAAAACGGAACATTCGAAAGTAATAACGTAACATGCGAATGTGTTATTGGTGCAAATATAAGATTTTACAGATCCTTGGTGTGTTAACCTGCACTGTCAGGGCTGTTCTGTCCATGTAGACCTCAGGATAAAGAGTCCTTGTCACATCTGGGTAACCAAAGAGTATCTGGGATTGGGAGGACGGCTTGTTTAAAACAAAGCTGATGCTCTTTGCAAATTCTTAGCTGGATTAAGTCAAGATTTCTCTATTCTATGCAACCAAAGCAAAACACAGAAATAAACTGGATGCTGGGGTTGATACATATCGACTGCCACCCATAACCTTAGCTTTGCAATGCTTTCTATTTAACTGAAACAGTTTCAGTGTTCTCACTGATTTGCTTTGAAAGATACTTGAACTCACAAAATATATTAATAAAATACTTTTATCTATTCGTAGAGAGTCCCATGTAAAGTTGGGTCTCATAAATTTGAAAACCACTTGTGAAGTGCAAAGAGCATGGATGACACCAATCCTGGCTCTGCCACGCACAGCCTTGGGCACATCATTTGCCCCCCAGGCTTCCAGGTCCACATCCATAAAATCATACCCACTTAACAGGGGTTTTGATCCAGTGAGGTCTCTTAACTACCCAGGAGGCAGTAAATACTCAGTTCCCTCCCCACCCAATAGCATGGAATGGCCTGGATCTCTCAGGCCCGCTCACAATCAGGTATTACTTGCATGCCAGACAGTAGCTGGGCTGCAACTATGGCCCAGGGCTTAATCCACGGGGACCATAAGGCCCATTAGCGCCCTTCTCTGACGACTGAGCAAGCCAGCCAGCCGAGGGGCCGACACTTGGGATCCGTTGAGAGCAGTGCCAGGGTTGCAGCAGGGAGTGGGTATGAGGCTGGGGGAGGGGGGTGTCTCTGTGTGTGCACTCATGTTTTCTTTACACAACATTGGCCATTTTTCCATTTGCCTGCTAAAGCGCTTCCGCGGCTGCCCCAGGCCAATCGCAGGACTTTAGTGAAGAATTCCTTGGAATGCGGTCTCTTTAGCAGGTGGTGCGCTTCCCCTCTGCTTGAGAAGGGCCTTCCTTTTCCATCAGCACAAAGCAACCAAGCAGAAGCTGGAGTTTCTCTCCACCATTTCACCTGGTGCCCCTGAAAGTTGCAGCCTACTTGGTAAATGCTTTTCATGGCCCCAGAAGTAAAGGGAAGTTATGTTGAGAAGCTGTTCTTAATTTCTCAGGTGTTGAAGAATTACCCCAAACAGGAGGAGGCACCAGCGATTATGCAAATTCTATCTGATTGCTGAGCAGAGGCTACCAGAGCTCTCAGATTAAGTGATAAGCATTCTTAGGGGGACAAAGAATTTACACAGCTTTTCCTCTGTATCACTCTTATCGCCCAGCATTCTCTGTATCGATATCCCCAAAGGGGATTGGAAGAGCCAGGCGGGTACTTTTCAGCTGATTATAGGGATTCCGCTGGCCTTGGGAATCATCTTTGAAAGGCAACTGTGAAGTAATCCGAATAGCTGGTGAATTTCTGGCTTCCCTGTTAGGTCAGCCTGTCCCAACATAATCTCGCTTAGCATTTTCTGGGCATTGAAGGTCAAAAAAAAAAAAAAGAGTGCAGGCAAGAATTTTGTCCCTGCCACGACTGGCCAGTTGAAATCGGTTCTGTGGACACCAGACACCATTTCTAAAGACATGTTTTTTGGAAAGCAGCCTTTGGCAATCCTTCTAATTTGCATTCAGAGGAAATGTGCCACATTTTCCGTAACAGGCAGCCCAGCCAACACCACCGGGGAGGGAGGAAGCTCTTTTCTCAGTGTCTGCAGGTTTATCCCTAAATGTTACGGAAATAGCAGCTGCCGGGGCAAGGGGAACAGAGGATGGAGAGTCTTTTAAAACGCTTGAGTAAGCTGGATATCCCAGGCAGCAGACCTAAAAAGGCAAAGGCTCCATATTCCGGTGCTTGCTTCAGATGCGGCCTGCACCCAGCAGCAGGCTGTGTCATCACATGGCCATCCTGTCCAAGTGAGCCCAGGGACAGAGCAAGCGCTGTGGCCACCCACTTGGGGCTCAGGCCTGGCGAGTGGTAAGGAGCAGGTCACATTTCACACGGCCTCGTGGCTGACAGCGCGTGTGCACAGCTGGCTCTTGTGTGACCTTCACCGCCCTGGTAATTATACGCACCCCCCGCCCCCTTTCATGGATTCTGAAAACTGCTTTTGTTTCAAACGGACACATTCTTTATATCCCTCTACTTACCTGGTTATGTATGTGAGAAGGAAGAGAACCTGGTGGGTCAATCGTCTGGCAGCGTTCTTCTGGGTGGGGTGTACGGAAATGTTTCTTTTCTCATCAGATGGATTTCTGGCTACCCTACCGAAGTGGTGAGCTGGTGAAAATAAAGAATGGAAACTAGGGAATGATCTTGAAGCCAACCTAATGGAAGTGCTGCCGCAGACTTTCCAGGGCTGAGGGGAACATCAGACTTCCCCAGAGGTTCGCTGCAAAATGCCCACCCAGCTATTAAGGAAACCGGATTGACTTACTGTGCACAGGACACAAGGCCTCTGGCAGTCACATGGAGAAGCAGGCTGTGATTGGAGCCGGGGGGTGGAGAAGGGAAAGTCAACGGGGTAGAAATTCGGAGCACGGGGAGGATTCCATATCAGAAGCAGAACGCTTTATACCTATTTACAGAGGGTTTCCACCACCGCTGGACATGCCGGGACCTCGCTGAGGAACATCACATTCTGGTTTCGTGCTGTCAGGGAATGGGCACATCTTCACCAGGCAGAAGGGCAGATGCTGAGAGGGGAGCCCGGGCTTCACGGGCTCGCTAATTCTTTCCCATAGCCTGTTCTGTTTTCTGTCAACAGTGAGGAAATACATCCTAGCAAATGACATCCAGTAATGCTTTAATTAACTGTAGTATTTTATGCTGCGATATGCGCCACGAAATCACTTCCAGATGGGGGAAAATGAATGATATTTACACAGAAAAGCAATCCCTTTATTTTCAGGAATCGATACCTTGAGGGTCCAGGGGGCTTATCTATTTTGATAAATACTAGAAAGAGACTGGAAGAGTTTCTTTACTGTGTAAAACCTAACAGTACTCTTTCTGCACGCCAGCTTTTCATGTGTCCATGTTTCCAAGGCTATTGTTTAAATGGCCCAACACAGTTCTAAGGATTTTATTTTTAGCAATCTGACTTGGAGGAGACAAGAAGTGTGAAACACTTGCTTTCACGCTCAAGCAAGTTGGTTATTTTGGAGATTTCTCTTCCTAGAGAGAGGAATTACATTTCCAGCTGTGAACTTGTGGCATTTTCCCTAGCGTTCTGTAAACGGGGGACCAGGACTCCCTGTCCAATGGCAATTCAGGATGGGCTGGTGTCGCGTCCCCTGCATCCCCTGCTCGCTCGCCCTGCCTGCCCGTCACTCTTACATTGGTCCTTGGACGTCTGCTTTCGGTCCTGTTCCACCTGCACCGAGGAGCTGCCCGAGGCATGAGAAAGTCGGTGCCCTTTCCTGGGAAAGCCCCAGGTACTGGGTCTTTGTTCTTCAAGAGAGGGAGGCGTGGCAACAGCTTCAATTCCAGAACTGAATTTAGAGGTCAAAACACCCCGTCCATGGTGGTTCCCGTTTCCCTGTTATGATCCAAACAGAACTTTCTCCAGCCTGGGCACCTCTAACGAGCAATCAGGAAGTCTGTCCAGAGTAAAAACAGCAGTGAACTCTTTATCAATTATAAATTACGAATATTTATTTTAACCACATAAGGTGACTTTAAGTTTTTTTTTTTTTTAAGGGGCTAGAGAAAGCGGAGGGAAGGAACCGGTACAGTATCTATATAATTTAACTGAATAACAGAGTTGTTAGCTACTGTTTTTAATCAATGAGTGCTCCTTTATATATATTATTTCAAAGTGACAGTAATAAATAAACCTTCTGTTTGGGGCTTGATCATCAAAACAAGAAGAATCCTAGTCAGTATGGGGACAGCATGATTTCTGCCATGGTCCCTACCACCAACACAAATTCAAAACTCAAGCTGCTGGCTATCAGCAAAAAGAAAAACCTTTACCATTTGGGTACCAGCTCAGTTATACAGTAATTACACTTGCTTAGAGTCAGAAAGGATATACAGTTATGAAAATGTGCAATAGGAACCCTTCAATAGAGCAAATTTCTGTTACAATGGTTCTTCACAAGAAGTAAGCGTTATAATCACGTATGGAACTTTTAAACCTAGATGCTGGGCCCCACTCCAGACTTCACTGATTCACAATCTCCATACATCTGTACTTGTAAAAAAAAAAAAAAAGAGCCCCAGGTGATTCCGATGCAGACCCCCCAGATGAGAAACATGCTCTGTCTGTACGGGACGCACACAGGGCATGCAGCGCCCATCAACGAGACACTTAACGTAACTCCTACTGACTTCTGCTGGCTCCTGGGAGCTTACTGACAGTGTAATAAATCAAGAAAGCAACTTCCCTGGCTGCGACCACCACCCGGGGTGCAAAACGGCAGCTTGACATCTCAATGCCATTATGGAGACTTCCAGAAAATGACTCCTCATGATGAAACACAAAGAGGAGTGTGGATCTGTAAACACTGAGAGTGACAAGAACCAGGTGTGGGAGTCCACTGGGTTTCCAGCTCCCAGGCCGAGGACAGATGGCTGAAGTGGCTGTTTGGAGATGGGCCCATCATCCCTTCTTTCAAGAGTGGGAAGAGAATGTTAACCTCAATTAGCTCGGGCTGGATAACCTTACCAGAGCCACACCATGGCTATCTGGGCAGAGTGAAATCTATCGACTGAGCTGCCCACGTGCCCCCCTAGCCCCTTCCCTGCCCTTCCAGCGCTTTTCTTATTTAGCCAGCTTTCCCTACTAGGGCTTAGCTAAAGGCCACACCTCTTTCTTCCATCACACCTGTAATCTTCCACTTCATAACTTGGGCCCTAGAGCCAAGCCCAGGCGACATCTCTTAACGGTCCGGCCGCAGAGGGAATCTCACACAGCTGCATGTGGAGGAAGGGGTGAGTTCCAGGCTTTCTCACCCACGGTGCTGGGATAGAAGCATGGAAAGGAACAGGACCACATGCCAGAGGGTGTGACTGCGGGGGTGAGGCTACAGAGTCAGCGACAACTGGACCAGTCGGGGGCAGCCCGGGACCAGCAAGTGAAGCACACGGAACCTTCACCCCCAGCTACCTCTGCTGCAGGAATCAGGGACCATCTCAACTGCCTTTTTATAATCTGGCTGTTACCCGTCTTCTCCGATTAGGACAGGAATTAAGACAGGACATGGGAGAAACATGTGAATGACCCAAATGCCCCAGCAAGTTTCAAGACTGATGATCTGAGAGTCGGGGAAGCACAGGAGAGGTGGGGGGCTTCCGGGGATGTGGGTGCTGGTGGGGGGTGTGTCACTGGCTGGGAGAAAAGTGCCCCTTGGACGCTCCTACAGTCTCTTTTTAATTAGTTTCTCCAGTTTGCGGATGCGAGATGACTCCTGTTCTGGAGTTGGAGCCAGGAGGGACAGAGAGCTGGAGCCTTCGGGCCCTGAGGGCGGGGTGGGGAGCCTCTGGCGGAAGAGATCCAGCATGCTGCTCTGCTCGCTCCTTTTCAGCCCCTGAGGTGGAGAGAGAAAGGAGGGTGACGTCAGCTCTGGCCCGAAGGGCCCGAGGGCAAGCGCAGTAGCTGGTATTCACTGGGCTGAGGATTAAGGCTTTCTTCAGGGAGATACCAGCCCTGGGTAGCAGCCTGGGAGAGAATCAGAGGAAGAGGCAATAGGAGAGGAGGGAGAAGGGGCTGAGAGGGCGGAGGTCAGGCAGCAGGATGCGCGAGGGTAGCCTCCTCTCCACTGCAGTCCCGCTGAGCCTGGCTCTCTGCTGGGCGCCAGGGTGCCATCAGAACGGGGACATTCACAGGCCCCGGTTCCTCCTCCTCCTTAAAAGGCTTCTGAGAGTTGGGTGTGCAGCCCGGGCCAGGCACGGGCACTTTGAGATAGCTCCCGGGGGCCCATATCCCATCCCCCAGTTAACCACCGAGCGTGAGAAGAAGGCGCCCGGGGACAAAACAAAACGCGGAGCCAACCTTCATGTCCAGGATCTTCTGGAAGGTTTCTGTGTTGCAGTCCGTCAGGAGTTTGATGTAGTTGTCCACAAACACCACCAACGGCTCGTGAGGGGCCATCACGACCTACCAAGGGAGAGAGGCGAGAGTAGGCCTGCCGGGAACACTCATGATCGGAGGCCGAGGATTATCTTTCCTCACTTGCAGGCCGATCACAAAACGGACTCTGCACGATCTCCTTAGGCGGCAGCAGCTGCAAACCCAGAATGTCCTGACAGCCTGTTTCATCTCGACACTCAGTTAGAGCCATGCTTCCTAAGTTTCCTAAATCATAAATGTAACCTGGATTGCTTCTTAAGTACACCTTCCTATGTCCCTCCTCTGAAGGTTCTAACTCAGAGGGCCTGGGGGGAGTCGCAGGACCACGGGAAACACTCTGCGGCAGGGTCCCCTGTTTGAGACATTTCGTAGGTTCGTGGTACCTGCTCCTTCTGTCCTGATGTATCACTGTTCCCGAAGGATGGCCTCAAAAGGCACTGGATTAAGTGCATTTTCTCAAAAACAAAACCCTAGAACAGCCTCACTCTTCTCAAGACTTCAAATCTGGAACTTCATTTAACTACATCCAATTCATGTACCAACAGCAGGAAAGCAATGGCATCGCAACCCCCACATTCACTGCCATTTGGTTCTCAGTGTGGCGTCTGATTTCCTTCCTCCAGCAGACTGTTTTTTTTTTCTCCAGAGGCAACCATTGCTTCAATTTTCTTTTGTTTTTTAATTTTTAAAAATTATTTAATTAAGTTATCTATTTGGCTGCGTCGGGTCTTAGTTGCGGCACGCAGGATCTTTCGTTGCGACGCACAGGCGTCTCTCTAGTTGTGGCGCGCGGGCCAGCAGACTGGTTTTGTTTTGAATTTCTGAGAATATGACTCAGACTGGTAAGGAGTATTCACTCAGAAATTCTCTCTAAACCCTGCTCTCCACCCTGGTGAGTAAACCAGCTAGGGAAGAAATGGATTAGCCTGCTTCCAGTTTCTTCAGGCCAAAGCCTGAGGTCTGTGTGGGCCCCTCACCTGGTCCCACCCATGTCAGGGCCTGTCGCTACTTTTCACTCCTCCATCATTTGAGTCATTCTGTTTGAAGACAGACCTGAAGGGCCTGCAGGCCCTGGCCTTCTAAGAGCATCCCCTGACAGTTCCATTTTTTCTTCAGCCTTCTCTCCCCTCCCCAGTAGGCCCCCTTTCCCCTTGACACATCCAGATGGAAATCATATGCAGGAGCTCAAGGCTTCCGACGTTCTCAGCACCATCACCCCATGTATAGTTTATTAAATGGGGCTTTAGAAAACCCATTTGCTGATTAGAATCAGTTACGCAACATCTGTTCAGAGTTCCTATAAAGTGGCAGAGTTCAGAGCGCCAAAGAGGCTTACGTGGACCTGAGTAACTGATAGCTGGGCCAGAAATTCCTGCTAAGAAGCAGAGAGATCCCTGACTTAGACGCTGATCCACAGTGACAACGCCACCCAACCTCCAATCTTGGTCAAATCTTATTACAAGAGAATCCCACTATGATGAAGAATTCATTTGTCAGATAGAATTACTGACCCCCCAGTGACAGTGCACTGACTTTCAACAATATCTGATGAAGCCAAAGTCTGGTTCAGCCAAAGAATGTGGACAATCTTTTAGGACTGATGGGCATAGGTCCTAACCTGTGCTTTCAAAGACTAGTACGCAGTACTCCTTGGAATAAATAATCAGATAACCAGGCCCTTTAACCGAAACCCCGAGGAAGACACAAGCCCCACCTTGAGGATCATCTCCGCTCGGGTCATGCCTTTCACCACGATCTTTGTGTAACTGGCTGGGGCTTTCCTCACCACCTGAGAGCCGATGGAAGGCAGATCGAGCAGGACCATCTTCAGGGAGTGGGTGTCCAGCAGCAGCTGAGGGAAGAGAGCAGAATAGAACCAGCCACTTCACAGGGACACGATACCTGGTGTACGCACACTGATAAATAACATTTTCCTGATTTTAAATGTAATACGTTCTCATGAACGAATGAACAAACATAAAAGGAAAAACATGAGTTATAATTACTATGACCCAGGAAAAAATAATAAGATGTCACAGTTCAGTGTGGTATCATTCCCACCAGCTTGTGTGTGTGTATAACATGCTAGAGTTATACTGTATAGACAGTTTTACAACCTGGTTTTTCCACTTAATACATGAAGTTTTTTGAATTCTATTTTCCCATCTTGGCAGTCTTTAAAAAAAATCATGATTTTTAATGGCTATACAGTGCTCTATGGTGTGTGTGTGTGTGTGTGTGTGTGTGTGTAACTTTAATATTTTTAATCATTCCCCTACACTTTGTTTCTAGATTTTTATTATTATAAATAACGAATACTGTAATGAACAGCTGTGTAGATATAATTCTAGGTCTATCAGTGGCATTTCCTTAGGAGACAGTCTTTGGGACAGATCAAAGGATAAGGACATTTGGAAGGCTCCTCTTACATATCCTGAACTGCTTTCTGAATGGAATGTACCTATTTACATAGTGCAGACCGCACCCACATCAGCACTGAAAACTGCCATAAAAATTTTGCGTATTCAACAGGCAAAAAATGGTAATTCCGCACTGCTCGATTTTGGATTTCTCTGGATACTAGTGAGGATGTAGAAGATTAAATCAAATTTTAACATCAGTATCTTGGCAACAAACTGTCTTTTTCTTTCTTTTTTCTTTTTTTTTTTTGGTTCTCTTGGATGCCAATTATTTGGAAGGCCATCAGCTTTCCTGATTGCCCACCAACTGCAGGCACAGAAATGGCATATATACACTGGCCTGTTCAGACAGTGTAGGAGAACGGAATCACATGCCCACCAACCAGACAAAGGTAGCAGTAGGGTGACAGTCTCACTACTGCAACTCTGATGGTCAATCTTATGTTCAGGACAGGGCTTGCTGTATCTACCACTGCCTGCTCCTCTCAGGAAGCTTTTCATAATTATATCAAGCAGGGGTGGAATGGTATCCCTTCAGGCCCTAGGACACCCTGAATTCTCTCATTCTCCCTGTACTTTGCTATGGACAGGAGAATTAACGACTAAAGATAAGACAAACTCATTAATGAGAAACACCATTAACTTAATGGACATGGTGATTATAATTTTGACAGTGGTACAAAAATTTGGAGAAGCCATCAATGTTTTACTTGGGATAACACAGAGGGAAATATTGCTCTCAAAAAATGGTGAGATATTGAAACAGACTGATTCTGAAGTTTATATGGAGAGGCAAAAGACCCAGAATAGCGAACGCATATTAAAGGAGAAGAACAAAGTTGGAGGACTGATCCTACCCAACTTCCAGACTTATAATAAAGCTACAGTAGGGACTTCCCTGGTGGTCCAGTGGTTAAGACTCCACACTCCCAATGCAGGGGGCCTGGGTTCGATCCCTGGTCAGGGAACTAGATCCCGCATGCCACAACTAAGAGCCCACATGCCACAACTAAAAGATCCCGCATGCCACAACTAAAGATCCTGCATGCTGCAATGAAGATCCCGCACATGGCAACGAAGATCCTGTGTGCCACAACTAAGACCAAGTGCAGCCAAATAAATAAATAAATATAAAATAAAATAAAGCTATACTAATCAAGACAGTTTAGTACTGGTGAAAGAATAGACAAATAGATCAACTGAGAAGAAAAAGCCCAGAAACAAATCCACACAAATATAGTCAACTGGTCATTCACAAAGGAGCAAAGGCAATTCAATGGAACAAAGACAGTCTTTCCAACAAATGGTGCTGGAACAGCTGGACATCTATGTTCAAAAAATAAAAATAAAAGGGAATCTAGACACAGACCTTACACCCTTCACAAAAACTAAATCAAAATGGATTACAGACCTAAATGTAAAACACAAAACTATAAAACTCCTTGAAGATAACATAGGAGAAAACCTAGATGACCTTGGGTATGGTGATGACTTTTTAGATATAACACCAAAGATATGATCTGTGAAAGAAATAAATGATAAACTGGACTTCATTAAAATGAAAAACTTTTGCTATCCAAAAGACAATGTCAAGGGAATGAGAAGACAAGCCACAGACTGGGAGAAAATATTTGCAAAAGATACACCTTATAAAGGACTGTTATCTAAAATATACAAAGCTTTTTAAGAAAAACTCAACAATAAGAAAACAAACAACCCAACTAAAAAATGGGCCCAAGAGCTTAACAGATACCTCACCAAAGAAGATATATAGATGACAAATAAGCATTTGAAAAGATGCTCCATATCATTTGTCATCAGGGAAATGCAAATTAAAACAGCAACGAGATACCACTATACATCTATTAGAATGGCTAAAATCTGGAACACTGACAACATCAAATGCTGGTGAGGATGTAGAGCAACAGAACTCTCATTAGTTGCTGGTGGAAATGCAAAATGTTACAGCCACTTTGGAAGACAGTTTGGTGGCTTCTTATATTAAAACTAAACATACTCTAACCATACAATCTAGCAATCATGCTACTCGTTATTTGTCTAGAATTGAAAACTTATGTTCACACAAAAACCTGTACATGGATGTTTTTAACAGCTTTATTCATAATTGCCAAAACTTGGAAGCAAACAAGATAACCTTCAGTAGCTGAATGGAGAAACTGTGGCACACCCAGACAATGGATTATTACTTAGTGTTAAAAAGAAATGAGCTATCAAGATATGAAGGAATCTTAGGGACAACTAAGCCCATGCGCCACAACCACTGAGCCTGTGCTCCAGAGCCCACCAGCCACAACCACTGAGCCTGCGCCACAACTACTGAGGCCCACGCGCCTAAAGCCCGTGCTCCGCAACAAGAGAAGCCACCGCAATGAGAAGCCCACGCACTACAAGGAAGAGTAGCCCCCACTCGCCGCAACTAGAGAAAGCCAGCGCGCAGCAACAAAGACCCAACGCAGCCACAAAAAAAAAAAGATATGAAGGAAACTTAAATGCACATGACTAAGTGAAAAGGCCAGGGCTTCCCTGGTGGCGCAGTGGTTGAGAGTCCGCCTGCCGATGCAGGGGACACGGGTTCGTGCCCCGGTCCGGGAGGATCCCACATGCCGCGGAGCGGCTGGGCCCGTGAGCCATGGCCGCTGAGCCTGCGCGTCCGGAGCCTGTGCTCCGCAACGGGAGAGGCCACAACAGTGAGAGGCCCGCGTACCGCAATAAAAAAAAAAAAAAAAAAAAAAAAGAGATCAGAAAAGGCCAATCTGAAAAGGCTACATATTGTGCATGACCCATAACACAGCACTCATGTCCTTTAGAGAAATTCTTGCCTATGTAAAAAAACAACAACAAAAAAAAACGGTTCCCTGCATCCACTGTTTGTAAAAGCAGAAGACTGGAAACAACCTAAATGCTCATCAACGGTAGAATGGATAAACAAATGGTGGCATATTCATGCAATGGAATATGATATTTTAGTTAAAATGAGTGAACTCAAACAACCTATAACAACATAGATAAATCTCAGAAAACATTATGTTGGGCAAAAAAAGCAAGTGGGGGGCTTCCCTGGTGGCACAGTGGTTGAGAATCTGCCTGCCAATGCAGGGGACACGGGTTCGAGCCCTGGTCTGGGAAGATCCCAAATGCCGCGGAGCAACTAGGCCTGTGAGCCACAATTACTGAGCCTGCGCATCTGGAGCTTGTGGTCCGCAATGAGAGGCCGCGACAGTGAGAGGCCCGCGCACCGCGATGAAGAGTGGTCCCCCCGCTCACTGCAACTAGAGAAAGCCCTCACACAGAAACGAAGACCCAACACAGCCAAAAAGAAAGAAAGAAAGAAAGAAAGAAGCTTTCATTTAAAAAAAAAAAAAAAAAAAAGCAAGTGGGGAATGATATGTATAGTACCATTTGTATAAAGTTTAAAAATATGCAAAACAAAATTATATATCTTTTGTGAATAGATCCACATGTAACATATCAAAACATATACGGGAATGATAAAAATCAAAATCAGAATAGTGATTACCTCTAGGCATGTAGGGAGGCTAGAGGAAGGGTAGGGTCCAGGGGGGACTTCAGCCATAACTGTAATGATTTACTTTATATAAAAAAGATCTAAAGCAAATGTGGGAACATGTTAAGATCTGACTAAGCTGAGTGGGAAGCTGATATTCTTGACATTATTTTCTATACTTTTATTAACTGAAACTATGTCTTTTTCTTCTTTTTTCCCCACACTATGTTATTTGAGGCCTAGTGAGGATTCAACTTTATCTTCCATACAGCAAAATTTCAGAGCCTTGTCAAAATCAAAGGCACGTCTTGGCATTATTTGCTAGCAGGAAAAAAAAGATCAATGATCATTTAAAAACTTATGGGGATACTTCCTGTTTTTTCTGTACTTTCTATTTCCCAGAGATATATTATATGCATAAATAATTGTACAGTCTTAAGTGACAGGAAGAGCTTTGAATGAGCCAGACATAACTCTCTAGTGTCTCCCATAGTTTGAGAGATAGGACTTTTTCAATTCCCGGCCAGTCACAATAAAATTTTGTCCTCACCAGACAGCTGTACAGATGGAAATCTTCGTCTCAGGTTTTACCGGAAGTAATGCAGTCACAAAAGGTGGGAGCTAGTCTGATAGGCTTAGCAGCTGTCTGTGGGCAATGAAGGTGAAAGGCCCCATTTATCATGAAAATCTGCTGGCTTTCATCTTTGAAAATAGCTGAAAGTTCATCCCCTTAGGCATGAGGCATTGGGCAAGAGGTGGCCATCCACCAAATTTGTTTGAGCCTCAGAGATAAATTTTGGGGTGGTGTGGCTCATGTTCTTGATGGGCTACTGGGGTGCAGATCTGGCCAGCATGCAATGCCTGGGAAGCGTCATCACCCAGCAGTGGAAAGCTCTGAGGGGTTTA